TTTTTTTTTTTTTTTTTTTTTTTTACGAAGACAGCAATGACACTAGAACAATAACAAAAACAGAAAAATGCCACTACCTACTACTAAAACAAACGAAAAAATTGAAAAATAATTTTTTTCTACACACATTTGACAAGTTAAAAACTACTCAGAAAATTAAACTAAACAAGACAAGAGTTACACATGCTAAACTAGCCTAAGCTCTAATGACACAATTACATATACTAACTAACTAATCAACTAAACTCCTTTTTTATTTTCATCCAGCATCTAGTAAAGAAACAAAATTCTTTTCTTTATCCACATGCCTGCTCCAGCAACGTTTTAACCATCTAAACTTGATTGGAAATAATTTGATTCTTATCTTCAAATTTAGAATAATTTGCCCTGTATCTAACCATTTGATTATTTTCTTTTGCATTATTTCCTTCATGGTTAGACTAAGTTTTCTTAGTTGATATAAGAAGTTGTAGCTCAGATTTTTCTCAAGAAATTTTAATGGTTCAAACTTCTTGTCTCCAAAGAATTTGGGTGGTGGGGACACAAAGGCTAACATAAGCTCACTTTCTTTTTGCTTTTTTCCACCATGCTCGAGGCTGCCCATTTCTAAAGTGCTAATTTCACTATTTAAAAGCAAGTAGTCAGCAAACAAACGATCATAAAAACAAATAGCAGAATAGTCATTAACATCTTCATCAGTGACATTTATTGTTTTTAAAACATTAAAAGTCATCTTTTGCTCATTAACTCCCATGGTTAATTCTCCTTTTTTAAAATCAATTATAGCATCCTCTTTAACTAAGAATGGCCTATCCAATACAATAGGCACATCCTTGTCAGCTTCAAAATCAACTATTATGAAATCTGCTGGAAAAATGAACCTATAAACTTTGACTAATTTGTTCTCTATTTTTCCATCAGGGACAATATTCCTTTCTTCTATTGCACATGAAATTAAAGAAGAACCTGGATTTTTCAGCTTGGATGAAAAATTGTTGGAGAGATAGTGCTCTTGTTGCTGCTCTTGGAGTCTCTGAGGAAATGGGATCTGTATTGCCTTTGATATAGGTTGATGAACTTCAATGTTTTGCATTAGCTTGTCTGATTCGTTTGATTTCAATGCTGCCCACACTGGTTCAGTTGTAGTTTCCTTCTCATCATCTTTGTCTTGAGGTGAGGATTGAGTGGTTGATGGTTGGGCTGTAACAATGTTATCCACTTGCTGCCCATTCCTCAAGTGGAGGGCTTTGCACACTTCTTTTCCATCCCTTTTATGTATTTCTGTGTCACTTGGTAGTGTCTCCAAAGGTCTACAACTAAGGGCAGAAGCAATCTGCCCCATTTGTATCTCAAGGCTCTTTAAGATAGCTCTATGACTTTGAAGCATAGTTTCATGGTTTTGTAGCATTTGATTCATCCACTGTTCATTTGGAGGTTGAGCTTCTACAACAGGTTGTTCTAGTTGTTCAGCAAAATGAGGATGCGTAAAACAAGATGAAAAAGACTCTTCTGCTTCAAATGACCATCCATGATAAGGCTGCTGGTCAAATTGGTTGTGGTTGTTATAATTGTAGTTGAAGCCTCCCACATAAAGGACAGATGTTGGGTTGCTGAGGCATTCTTCAAAGGCATGAGCACCATAGCAAAGTGAGCATATAGGTGCTGTAACAACTATTGGAGTAGGTGCTGGTTGCTTGGATTCTTCCATAACCATGACCAAATCCTTCATTGTGTTATGCAAAGCTGCGAGTTGAGCTGCCAATGCCATTGTGATCCCCCTGTAGAGTGTTTAACAACCAACCTTTTTTTTTTTTTTTTTAGATTTGGCAGAATGCTAAGTGCATCAATCTGTTTTCACAGTAAAAAATTATTGATCTGCAAAATCTACAAGGAAAATGTAAGTTCAAGAAAAATTAAAAAAAAAGAAAATGAAAGAAAACCAATTCAAGAACTAAAAGACAGAATTTTAAAAAGAAACTAAATCAAACACCGTTCCCCGGCAACGGCGCCATTTTGTTGGTAGTAAATTTCAAAAGAAAGAGTTATCGTTCTCAGGGAACAGTTTGTTTAGTTTTCCTTTTTTAATTCCTATTTCTAATTTCTTGAAATTAAGTGATCAATCTTTTAAAACTAAGAAAAGACTAAATCAAACAAGGTATTTATCAGATTTGTATTAAACAAAATTAACAGAGGAATATCTAATCACAAATGTATCAATTATAAGGTTCTGGAATTCTTTGAATCATGGATGAAGGAAAAATTTCGCATTCCTGCGTTTTATAACTGCTACGACACTTTAGTATCAGAATTCGAATTACTATGGCTATTTTATCTGAAACTTCCCAGTTCCAGATTTTAATCTTTAGAAGGATCTTTTCCCAAAGTCTTCTAAATCTTTAAAAATTGTATCAAAGACCTCATTGGGTTATCCCTAACCTCAAGGGTTCAATTAACAAGGGACATAACCTGATTTCCCAATCACAGTTATGCAAAAATTATTCAAGACCCATTCCCATGGTGTTCTTGAACTTAAAATCAAAATCTTGTTAATCAAATGAATCTAAAGCAAACCATCACAGTATTCAGAAAATTAAAAGATCACCAAATCATCATGAATCCCAGAAAAAGAAACTTAGAAATTCATATTAACAAATGAAAAGCTTAGAAAAGGAAAATGAAGAACCAAAGCTTGCATGTAGCTGAGTCTTGGATCCCTCCAAGAAAGAAGTTTCACGCTTGCTCTTGATTTGAGAATTTGAAGAACAAAGACTCGAACTTAACAAAAAGTAAAGAACAGAAAAGAAATTCTGGAATTGAAAACTAAAACTTTACAGGAGAGTGCTTAGTCTATATCTCTGTATCTAAGACTCCTATTTAAAACTAAAAAAATAACCATCGATCCAAAGTTTCATTGTTGTTCATCCATGCCTGTCCTCATCCAACGGTCCATCTCTCTTTTTTTCTTCACTTCCAAAAAGTAACTCAAATGGCTCTCTAACTGCAGTAAAAATAGTAAAAGAGGATAGTAAATCATCGAATTATCTCTTTCTCTCTCTTTTACCTTATTGGGCTAATTGGTACTCATTTGGCCCATTACTTTGCACTTATAACTAGTCTTTAGCTCAAACATTGTAAAAACAAAACCATTAAAATAATCATAATTTATAGCTAACAGTGTTCCAGGTTAATCCTTCTCTCATTAATAACCAACTTGGGTTTGAACCAAATTTCATATCTTTCTTGACACTCGGGAGATAAAAACCTGTCCTTATCAAAGGGTGGTTGTGCATTTATAGGAATGGATTCCCTAGTGTCCTTGCTCTTGCTCTTTGAGGCCTTTTTGGTAGTTCGGGTTTCTTTTGAAGCCTCTTTTGAAACCTTTGGCCTCTTTTGCCTTGTAGTTGTACCCTTTTTCTTTGGAATATTTTTCTCCTGAAAACCAAAAAAGTCCCAATAGCATATAAATTTCAGCATGTAATTATCACAAGCATACCTTCCAATTCCCATATTAATTGTGAAAAATAAATCATAGCAACCAATTCCCAGATTTGTTGTAAACAATAAATCACAGCAATCTAATCAGTCTCAGTGGAAAAAGTTATCATATTTTTCATATGATCATATGAAGCATTCCTCTAAATACCTTAACCAACAACCAATGGAAAATAAGCACTTCCATTCAAAGTGGACAAGTGTCATTTACAGTGCTCAGCAACACATAGTGTATGATGCACAACAAGATTCGGCCTATTCGACTGAGATACTAATCATATATCTAATTGCTTATACCAAATTTATTAAAGTTGAGCAATCAGAACATATAAAACTAGCAAATAAACCACACAAGTCTTTAAGAATTTAAACTTATACAATTTAATTGCTGAGTATATCAGTCCAACGGTAAATAGAAGGTTGAATAAGTAATCATAGAAATCAAACAAAGTGCTGCACATTAGTTGCATTTAAAAGCAAGTGGGTGGTATTTACCACCGAAGCAATAACCATATGCAATATTTAGCAATGAAAGATGGAGAGATGGCTTGGTTTTGGGATTGTGGTGGCTTGGTTTAGTTGATGGGTTTAGAGATTAGGAGAGGTTGTGGGTTAGATCGGTTGAGATGGAGAAGAAGATAGCTGAAGTGGTGGGGCTGTGGTTGGGAAAAGATGAAGATGAGTGGTGATTTCAAGTGGTGTTTCTTACGCCAAATTGGGGTGTGAGTGAGAATAGTGTCTTACTCACACACACAGAAAGCACCTACAAGTAGCGTAACATACCCCCACATTGGCTTACGAGCCGCGGACGTATTTTTTATTTTATTTTTCTTCTTCACAGAACCTACTTCTAATATGGGATTCACATATCTTTTTTTAGAATCTGCCGGTATCTTCCAAGATTTGTCTTTTTTTTTATAGTGATGAAATTATATATTTTAATTTTTTATAAGCTCTTCAATAGAATCTTCACTAAAATTTCTAATAATATCTTTAATCAAATCATTAAAGTCTTTCCTTTTATATTTAAAAAAAAAACTTTCCTTAAAAATATTCAAGAGAATATTTAATAAGATCTTCAATTAATTATATGATTCAAAAATCCAAAACAAATCCACTTGAGCCTTCCAATTTATCTTTTTGTTAAACTGGAAATTCTTGCAAAATATAAGAAATTTAATGAGAATATTACTGAAAATAAAATAAAACTTTAATTTCAATCTCATATCTTTTAATTATTTTTAAATCAATTTCACGGTCATATTAATCCTTAATACATAAAAATTGGATAAATCTTGCACTCAATCTTGCATCAAGTGATCAGCTTCAAGATTTGGTAAAAAAAAAAAATATCTTAGCTGTGCGAAATAGCTATATCTTTGTTCCTATAAGTATGGTTCTTCAAAGGCTTTTTTTCCTCAAGCTTTTCATATTTGCTATTTCGTTCGTTTTGAAATTAACTTGCCATCACACACTTCCCTTCTTGACAAATTGTTCTCCAGCTAGTTATGGATATTGAGTCAACAACACAATTAAACAAGGCTGATTTTTTCTCTCATTGGGGGATCTTCCTAAAGGCTTTGCCTAGTAACTCCAAGTCCAAGATGATCAATGTCACGATGAGTATAAAGAAAATTGGCCAAGATGACCCCAACCGAGTAATTCACTCATTAAAAATGGGAATTGCTCTCACATTGGTGTCCTTGCTTTACTACTTAAGGCCTCTTTATGATGGCTTCGGATTGGCAGGAATATATGTTGTTCTGACTGTGGTTACTGTATTTGAATTCACCGTAGGTAAGTTCAAACATAGCATAAAATTTCGTATATAATAATATTGCACTTTATTACATAGTTAAAGAATAATGCATCAACATAATGATTTATAATACCTCGACCAAATCAATAACGTTGTTATAATCAGACGAGTCTATGTTATCTAATTTGCTTTACTTAGAGAGTTGGTCTTTTTTTTTTTATTTGAGCATTAGTGTCTCTTTCCTTCGTTTCACACACATGCTCAACCTCAAGTCAATCTAGGCTATTATTGGAACAAAACAGTAAGTACCACAATCAGTAAAACTTGTCGCATGTTCTAACTATACGATAGTATGATAACCTTCCCTTCCATAAACTTTATATATAATATCTTATTAATTTTCGGTTGCTTCTTCTTACTGTAAATATTTTTTTTTTGGTAACGGCTGCTTCTTAATATTACTATTATTTGTTCATGACCAGGTGCAACCCTCAACAAAGGTTTAAATGGAGGATGTGCTACATTATTAGCTGGGGCTTTAGGGTTTGGAGGCCAACACTTAGCTATTGTTTTTGGAGAAAGAGGAGAACCTTTTGTACTTGGGACCCTTGTCTTCATTCTAGGTACTATATATACAATTTGAACAAAGAAAAAGATGATTATATTTCTCGGCATGTATTTGAGGCCAGAAAATTGATATAATGTTTGCTTCCCAAACAATGTATATGTGTGTGTTTAGCTTTAATTGTTTGTGTTCTATGTTTGCAGCTGCAGGGTCTACATTTTTTAGATTTTTTCCCAAAATCAAGGAAAGATATGATTATGGGGTGGTGACATTTATATTTACATTTTGTTTGGTTACTGTATCGGGTTACAGAGTCGAGCAACTCTTTGAGCTTGTTTATCAGAGACTTTCTACAGTTTTAATAGGGACTGCAACATGCATGGTTATCTCCATATTGGTTTGTCCAGTTTGGGCAGGCGAAGACCTTCACAAGTTGGTAGCATCCAATATAGAAAAGCTAGCAAATTACCTAGAAGGTATATATTTGATTCCATGATCATTAGTTTTCATGCTTTCTTTTTGTGTTGCATGTTAATATCTAAAACTCTTTAAGTCACTCGCAGGATTTGAAGGCGAATATTTTCAATGCTTAGATGATAAAGAAAAAACTGAGAAGTCTGTTCTTCAGGGATATAAAAGCGTTCTCAATTCCAAAAAAGATGAAGAGTTATTGGTGCGCATTTTCTATTGTTTATTTTAAGATATCATTCAACATTTTTTATTTTCTGGATTACTCTTTAAATATTTGACCATATATATTCGACAACATCCATAGGCTAATTTGGCGTGGTGGGAACCAGGACATGGCGGTTTTCGTCTTCGTCATCCTTGGAAGCAATACTTAAAGATTGGAGAACTTGCTCGGGAATGTGGTTTCAAGATTGAAACTCTTAACACAATCCTTGATGACACTGAAATTCAAGTAATACATCTTTATTCTTTCTGCATGAAATTAAAAACATCAAAAAAAAAATTCCCAAACTTCAAAGTCTATTAAATCAAAGCAATTATGGCTTGATTAGCTAGAAGCTGATATGCATTTTGGTTACTGCAGGCATCTTTGAAATTTAAGAGTAAAATTCAAGAATCATGCACAAAGATGAGTTCAGAATCCAGCAATGCGTTTAAGGCAATATCTTCATCAATCAAAACAATGACAGACCCATCAGCTGCTAAATACCACATAGATAATTCTAAAACTGCAATTGAAGACCTCAAAATTGCACTGGAAACTGTTTCGTTGGAACAGGGAGAACTCCTAGCTAGAATCCCAGTAGCCGCAGTTGCAACAATACTCAAAGAAATCACCATGTCTGTGGAGAAAATTTATGAATCTGTTTCCGAGCTTTCTCATTTAGCCCATTTCAAGAGCATAGAACCCAATGTCTCGCCAGAAAAGCCTGTTGTAATGGACATTGATAACGCTGATCATATTGAAATTACCATCCAAGATATAAGCACAAACTCACCAGAAAAAGAAAACGCACCATCACCAGAATCCACCCAATGTTTGCAACTGGAAATAGTTGTCATTAGAGAGTAGCAATTTGTCACTCAACTTTCTAGTTCATAGTTAGGTAAATAGTTTCCTACCTAATTTTACCCTTGTAATGTGGAATTCTTAAATTCAGATGAGAAGCATTATTACTTGTAGTGTTGTAGTGTAACAGGTTAAGCTAGCTGTAGTGTAACAACTTTCTTCCTTCTTTATCTTTTTTCTTATGTGTTGTAGTGTAACAGGTTAAGCTAGTTGCCATTTTATTTGCTTAATTAGATATAAAAAAGTAAATGGTAAACTAGCTATGCTCTCAGCCACATTTGGTGTTTTGCTTCCTTGTCCCTCATAACACTTTTATACATGTTTTTTGCTTTTAACAAATAAAGTGCACCAAACCAAGAAGTTGAAACAAAATTGACATGGCTATAATGGGTTTCCTCGGGGATGCCAGGAGCATGGAACTCAAATGCAAATTGCTGCATGGCAAGTAAACTGAGGGACTCAAGTATTTCACGTACGACAAAGATCAATTGAATTCGAAAGCCAAAATATATTTTATGAAAAAGAAAAAATAAACGAAGGAAAAATAAAGGATAAAAGGGAAGAACAGAATATTTGAGACTTAAAAGTAGTCCACCATGATCGGTATGGAATATTTTAGCCAGAAAAAATATAACAGTATGGATTACTTGTTCAAGTATTTTATTTGAGTTTATTTGGTATGTACGGACAGTACGGTAAATGTAGTCAACGTAAAAATTTTACAATCACATTCACTAATATTTTAAAGAAAGATTATATTTATAACCTCCTTTTACTTATAATTTCAAATAACTAGAGGCGTAAATGGGTTAGGTCGTTCTATATGGGGCCTACAGTCTATATAGAATAGATTTATACTTTTAAAAAATCTATTTAGAAATTAGGTCATAGACTTTTTTGTACATGTCAGATCTATAAGCCTACAGGCCGGCCTATATCATATTATTTATTTTAAATAAAATTATTGTTTTAATAATTTTTAATAATATAGTAATATTATTTTAGTTATTTTTTTAATTGTTGAATGTTTAATGAGCCGAGCCGAGTTTTGGTCTTAAAAGGCTAAGCCTGTGTTTAAATGTGTCAGTGTGACCAAGCATGTTACCTGTTATAAATATAATTATCAGTCTGTGGCCTAACTTATTTACAAAAAATAAAAGCTCGATTCAGCCTATTTAAAAAAAATAAAACAACAAAAATTTATCTAAACAGAATATACATCAACAACACTAGTAATTTCATAAGTATTGATATTTTTTTAAGATTTTTTTTTTTAAAAGCAATCTTCGTAGTGAATATAGATTTTGAATTTAATTCTTGTTTTTATATATAAAAGTATTGATATTTTTTTTAACATCTTTAATTAGACACATCTGTTTTTTATAATAACAATTTTAAGAAGACAAGAAAGGAGGTGCATGGTAATGTTCCCAAAAATATTTATTTTTTTCTCTTTTTAATTTGGGGAATATAAATTGTTAAAATTAATATTTGTTATATCAATTTATTTTTCTCTTTCAAAAACTGAATCGGGTATCACAAGAATACAAATTGACAGAAAATAATAATTTTTTTTCTTGAAACACTATTTATTAAATGCTTATATGGTAAAATTTGTATTCATATCATTAAAATAAATTATTTATTAAATACATATTCTCTCTTCGTGGAAACAAAAATAAATTGTATCATCAAAAATATATTTTTCACAAAACTCCTCCTAAATATATATAAATAAATTAATCATATATATATATATATATATAAATGAAAATGAAAGATATCGACATGAATAATGATTGAAATGATACCGATTCAATAAAAATTTATGGGAAAAATGTTTCTGAAGTTACTGCAGATAAGTTATGTGCATTTATTTCCAAAACGACGTCGTTTTGGTATTGAAATCTTAAAAAATTATAAATATAAAGACCAGTATAACCCTGAAATAAATTAAAATTGCAAAAATACTATGATTTCCGCCCCAAAACGACGTCGTATTGGGCTTACTGCAGATTACTTATCTGCAGTAAGTAAGTGCAGAAAAAGTGAACTCAAAATTTATTCAAAACAATTAAGTCTACACATTTTCATTAAGCTTAAATTTATTACATTATCAATGCATCATTTTCTAAACTATCATTTAATAATATGTTAGCACATTATTAATAAAGTTAAACTTCTTAAGTAATAATTATGTAGTCAAATTTTTTTTAATGATTTGATAGTATATGATTGGATGAAAATATTAAATAGTTTTACATTGGCCCTATATTAAAATTAAATTATTATTATTATTTTATATAATAAGTATTACTAAGTTAATAGTTAAGAGTATTTCATAAAAATAAAAATTTTAAAACTTTGTATTGGAATTTTTAGTTCAAAAATGTCTTATGCATTATTTTAGTGTTTAAGAATCAATTTATGTTCTGAATATATATATATATATATATATATATATATATGAAAATGATCCGTTTATAAAATTTTTTTACAAATTACAGTAAGTATAAGTATCACCGGTTATGCTTAATGTAATTTGTAAGAGTTTGTAAACAAAAAGTTAGGAAAAGTGGAAAACTGTTTAACTCAGAATTTATTCGTGAGATGACTTAATTACACCTGACACTAAAAATAACTCCAAAAACAAAAATAGTACTTTCAAATACCTGAACAATTAATGATGTAAGATTGAATAATTAATATTAACTATTCTTATTCATGTTGTTACTCAAAATGACACATATATAAATTTTTTTAAAAAAAATATATTTTATGAGCTTCTTTTTTCTCATATCACATGAGGTAGTATCTCTGATCATGTCATAGACACAATAAATGGTGGAGCCCATCACTTTGTTAGAAAAAAAAGGATAACACGAATTTTAATATCTCACAACATAAGAAAACTATCTCTTATATTACAAAAAAAAAATAATTTCCCATATTTTATACACAAATATTATTTTCACATCTTTTTCACACACAAAAATCACACTTTTTGTGATAAAAAGAAAAGAAGGAGAGAGAGATAGGGGGTATAGGTAATGAGAAATGTGTTCTCTCTCTCCCTCTCTTTAATTAAATCCAAAGAAAAAAGTGTAAGGAAAATAGAAACAGATCTAATCCCAGGTGGGGTAGAATGCCATGTTAATCTTATCTGAGAAAGAACGTCTACTAAAAGTGAAAACTGGCGCGTGAGCGCGTGAGGTGGCAAAAATTAGCTCTGCTAGGTTTTTTGCTCGAAACTTTCATTTTCTAGGGTACGATGGTGGTGAAAGGGGGTAGACCCCCTAATACTGAGAATGATGCAACCAGAGATAGGGATTCAAAGAAGGCAAAAGGAGAGGGCATGGTGGATCTGATCATGCAGGACTCTTCTCCGGTAGTGGGCGCTACGGAGGAGGAGGGAATGGTGATGGAGCTTAACCCGGAGGTTTCTGAGGCGATGAGGAAGGAAGATGAATTGCTTCGGGATCCCAGGAAACTGATCTCTTATAAGGATCAATTCCTGCGGGTAAATGGTGTTTGGGACGATCAACACGGTGATGAAGAAGATGATTGGCTGGCGCAGAGCAGGAGGGACGAGCTGGATGAAGAGGAGGCCATCAGGGCGTATGAACAGACGCAGGAGGATGACCCACTGAATCCTTATTATCAGTTTGACATACTGGAGAAATTGGAACAATGTAAGAAATGGAAAATGGCACTGATCGTGAAGCTGATGGGGAAGAGGCTGGGAGCAAAATTTCTCTGGAATAGGTTCCACAAGCTGTGGAATCTCGAAGGGGAATACAAAGTGATGGATCTAGAAAATGATTATTATTTGGTGGATTTTGAAAAATTACAAGATTACCTATTTGTTCAACAATAGGGGCCTTGGATTGTAGCGGATCACTACCTTATAGTGCAGAGGTGGAGGCCAAACTTCGATCCTTATGATGACCGTGTGAAGAAGCTTATTGTGTGGATCAGGATCCCAGTGGTTCCTAGGGAATTCTACACTTGCAAAGATTTGTGGAGGATGGGAAACATGGTGGGCAGGACCTTGCGGATTGATGAAAGCTCCTTGAGATTTAGTGGACAGGATCAACAGGATGAGATCACGGATAGAGGTAAGTTTGCACGTATTTGTGTTGAAGTTGATCTTAGCAAAAGTCTCTTGTCTAAATTTCGGATTGGTCAAAGGCGATTGTTTATACGCTATGAGGGTCTTCACCTCATATGCTTTTGTTGTGGCCAGTATGGCCATAGGAAAGACCACTGTATGTTTAATCCTGCGAATTTGAAGAAACCAGTGGAGGGTGATAAGAGGGACTGCCAAGTACCTTCTGAGGGAGAGAATAATAATTGGGAGGTTGAGAAAAGCCAAGAGGAGAATGGGTTTGGGAATTGGATGACTGTCCAGAAAGGTAATAGGAATAGGAAACCTAACACACAGCAGAAGACTAGAGCTTCTGGCTCAAGTTTTGAAAAACAAGGGGTGAACAGTCCTAGCCTTGCTAACAAAAACATTCCTTCAGGATCTAGATTTTCTTTGCTTGGGGAAGTTAGTGAGGTGGAGAATTCTAAGTTGATGGTCCAACCAGGTGGCTTAGCAGACAGTGAGGTAGATGTTTCAAAAGGAAGTGGGCCAGGTAGTAAGGGAGCAAATTCCAAAAGAAAGAAAGGTTCTGAGAAGTTGGGGAAGAAAAATAGCCAGGAATTAACTTCTAAGTTGGGTACCTCTAGAGGTTATCCTGGTGTCCAGGGTCAGGGAACCTCTAATCAACAGGTTACCTTGAATCAGAAGGAAGCTATCCTCATCCTCAAAGCTGGTGGTAACAGGGCTCCTTGTAGCAGCACCAGTGGCCAGGGAAACATAGTGAATATTTTGGATGAAGGGAAGGTGGCTGGGAAGATACAGATTCTGAAAGACAAACCTTTTGATATTCTTGATGGAGGGAATAAGGTGGCTTTGGGCAGCAAGGATGCTATGATTTTGGATGTTATCACCAATT